TGTTCTAGATCCATTGTTGGAGATTGATCGTTTTGGTTAGCCAATACTGCAGAAAGCAAAACTAGAACAATCTTGGGTGTTACAGCATCTTGCAATTCCTATGTTGCTTTCTCAGCAAAAAATGGGCAGTGGGCTATTACAACTGGAAGGAAAAAAATTCACCTCGATTGATACTGTTAATGGAGATCCAGTGACCTCTACCAAATGTTTGGATGTCAGCTGAGGGGGAATGGGCTGGGTTGTGAGGTTTCCTTGACTGGGAAACAGTTTGCCTGCAGGCTCTGTTAAATGATTAAGCCAGCCTTGGGGTAGATACCAGTTGACAGTCTGTTACAACCTGGACTCTCAGGCTTGGGGAGAGTTTTGGTTTTGTTGCTGGATGAGTAACCCAATGGCCGTGAGATCGAGCGCTGAACTTTCCCAGACCTGGTGTAAAATGTTTGGAGATTGGAATTCAGGAAAGATGGTGGGCGAAGCCTTGTCAGGACAGCTTTCTAACATTTTCTCATTTCTAGGGAAGTCTCCCAGGCACAGGCATCCACTGCATGGAGACAGGCTGCCAATGGTACATTTAATGCCTTTTGCCAGTGGCATAGCAACCAACCGCCAGTTTAATGGAGATAGCTAATGAGTAGCAAACTGGAATCAGACCAGAATCTCCTCCCCCAAAGAAGAGTTTAGACACATGGTTCAACCATTGGTTTCTCTATGCTCTAAACGGACTGTCTGGTTGGTTCATGAATTTTTAGTTTAAATTTATAACTCTACATTGAGTCAGCCTGGCCATCACTGACCTGGCTCAGCAAGCCCACCTCTCCCAATGGGCCTGCTCGAGAGCTGGTAACCCCCTGATTGGGTTGGCAAAGGCAAAATCTTGCCTCCATCCTTAATAGGACAGCAAACACAGAACAGGCCAGTTAGGAGGGAGAAAACATCTGCTGCTCTGGATCCCAGTAAGCATAGGCTTGGGACCCCGATTCAATTCTAGCATCAGGGTGGCTGCAGGCAAATATTGCTGAACTCTCGACATAACCAGTTGTGAAATTAAATTGGTTAACCAAGGTCTTTCAGGAAGGAAACTTGTCACCTATTGCCAACATGTGCCTGTTGATTCTTAATGCTGTCATTGTGCAAAACAATCAATTCTCAGTGTAAATGTCTGGAGTAAAGAGCAAAGACGAGATGGAAGGAAGGTTTTTATAATGACTCAAAATGGCTGCCAGGGCTCCATCTGTAAACAGAGCAACATATGAAGAGGTCCTGAGATATTAACCATAAGATTTAAGCTAAAAGCAATGCAGAGGGATTTTTTTTTTTAGGAACAGACTCCTCTCCTCTCCCTTGCAGAATGAAAAAATTGCAGAATTACTACCTCAGGGACATGTCGATGCACGCAAATATTACTCAACAAATATTAATCTCACTTCTGAAAACGAACAATGAACTCCGTTGCAATTAAAACAAGCACATTAATTAAATATAAAAATTATTTTAATTTGAGAGTGGATAATTCATCCGTTTATAGATAGGTTGATGCTTGGAGTGACAGTTCAGCATCACACCCACATGCAGATCTTAACATCTTGTCTATTACAAAACAGAAAAAGATCAGTGGACGCAACAGCTTCCCCAGGAGAAGAGTGCACGCAGAACTGAATATAATTTATATGTAATTTTCGTGGAGTTAGAGAATCATTATAGCACAGGAGGAGGCCATTCACCCCAACAACTCCACGTCCGTTCTCAATAGAGCAATCTAATCAATCCATGCACAACCTCTATACCCTGTAGCCGTACAAGTTTATTTCCTTCAACTTTTCACCCCATTTCCAGTTGAAATCTCCAATTGCACCACCCTTGTAGACAGTCTCCAAATCCTTGTGCCATTAGCTAATGGCAATGTTATTTCTGTTAGACTTATTTAAGCTTGTCATTATTAACTAGATTTCCCCTCAGCGTCATTTGCTACATTAAGTGCAACTTCTCCCATCAAAGCATTAGGGCAGTTGCTGACATGGTGGTGATGTCACTGGGCTACTAATCCCAAGTGCTCCAAGCTAAGGGTCAGGGGTCACAGGTTCAATTCTCACCACAGCAGCTGATGGAATTTGCATCTGATTAATGAAGTCTGGAAATGAAAGCTACCCTCAGGAAAGGTCACAGTGATTCTATCATTGATTGTTATAAAAACCCATCTGGTTCATTGATGCCCATATCTGATCTGGACTACATGCTGACTAATAGTAATGTCCTCTGAAATGGCCCACCAGGACACTCAGTTCAAGGGAATGGGCAGCAAACATTGATCTTTCCATTATTGGTCCCTTGCCTCAAAATAAGACATCTTTTAAAAAAAATCTCAATTTCCTTACATTGTTTTTCAATGTTTCCAGGGGTCTGATAATTTTCCATTTCTTTTCATATCATGTGGCTCTTTTCAAAAAGAAAGACTGTAAACAGAAATTACTGGAATCACTCAGCAACTATGAGGCAGCATCTGTAGATAAAGGAAGACGGAATTAATGTTTCATCTGAGTGACCATGTGTCCTTTGTGTTTCTGGATTGTTACATTATTTCTGATTTCCATCCAGCTTCAGGGGACTTGAAATGTTCAATATTGAAAACAAATTGAATAAACCTGGATTGTATCCCCATGAATTTAACAGGTTGAAAGGTGATGTTACTGATCTGTTTAGGATGTGAAAAGGATTAAAATGAGGAACTATTTCTTCCTGTGGGAGGAATCAAAAATAAGGGGAGATGATTTTAAAGTCTCCTGAAACTCCCTACAGGTATTGTGAGTCTATCTACAACACATGGACTGCAGCGGTTCAAGAAGGCAGCTCCCCAGCACCTTCTCAAGGGGAACTAGGGATGGGTAATAAATGCTGGCCCAGCCAGGGATGCCCACATCCCACAAGAGGACAGATAAAATAAAGAGATAACAAGGTGTTTAGAAGAAGGGTCTAAGCCCGAAACGTCAGCCTTCCTGCTCCTCTGATGCTGCTTGGCCTGCTGTGTTCATTCAGCTCCACACCTTGTTATCTCAGATTCTCCAGCATCTGCAGTTCCTACTATCTCAGATCAAATAAAGGCTTGGCCTCAGAAGTGAAGATGAAAAGCGTTATCATACCAAGGATGATAAAAATTTGTTGTTTCTTTTACCAGTCACCTCTAACCCTCAACACTTTCAACAACAAGAACAGTTTCCACCTATCTACACTGTCTAGGGCTCTCATGATTTTCAACACCTCTGTCAAATCCAGTGCTAACAGCTCCTGCATGTCCAGACAGGTTGATTAAAGTGGTTATAAACACTCTGATGAATCTTTGCTACGCTCTCTCTATTAACTTTACATCCTTCCTAAAATTCAGTGCCCAGAACAGGAACTTGGATTGAAATCCAAATCTTTTTACTGGGCCCTTAATCCTGTACCTTGTAACACTCAGTTTTATTTCCACACGAATTTTGGAGGTCCACTAAAATGTTCAAAACTGTGATGACAGCTCTTTGTCAAGTAAGGGTGATGAGGCATATGGCTTAAATGCTGCCAACAGATTAACCATGGTTTAATTACATGGGGGAACTGACTCAAAGTGATTGACCAGTCAATTCCTGCTCGTACCTCGTACCAGAAAAGCTGACGTTTCGGACCGGGACCCTTCTTCAGAAATCTGAAGAAGGGTCCCAACCCGAAACATCAGCTTTCCTGTTCCTCTGATGCTGCCTGGCCTGTTGTGTTCCTCCAGCTCCACACTGTGTCTTTTCTTTCATGGGCTTGTTAAACAACTTTTCTGAAGACATTTTAGCAAATGAAAGTAAAATAATGTGAAAGCTGGAAATCTGAAATCTAAACAGAAAATATTTAGCGGGTCAGGCAGCAGCTGCGCAGAGAAAAACACAGAATCAAAGAATTCCTACAGTGTGGAGGCAAACCTTTAGTCCATACCAACCCTCTGAACAACATCCCTCCAAGGCCCACCCACTACTCTATCCCTGCAATTCCCATGGCTAACCCACACATCCCTGGACAATTTAGCATGGCTAATCCATCTAAGCCATACATCTTTGCCCTGTGGGAGGAAACCCACACAGACACCATGCAACCTCTGCACAGATAGTTGCCCAAGGGTGGGAACAAACCCAGGTGAGACAGCAGTGCTAACCACTGAGCCACAGTGCCCTCACAAACCTGTTGAAATGTCAGTGATGTGAAACATTGACTCCATTTCTCTTTCCCCAGAGGCTGTCAAACCTGTTGAATATCTCCAGCATTTTCTGTTTATATCTTTTTACAAATCTCAGGCAATATATTCTATGTGGTTCCCTGTATTAAGGGAGAAGAATGGTAAAGCAGAAAGATATTCTGTTCTCTGTCTTAAGTCTGTTCTCTGAATGTCCAACAAATGTGCAGGATGAGGCAAGTTAAATAGGAAACCAGCCATGTTCCTTGATTTTCAAAGATTATTTCACAGTAGAACATCAACATGGAATGTGGTGACATAAGTATATTATTCAGTGGACTTTTGAACATTGTGACTAGCTTAGACCTGAGACTACAGCAAATTAACCACTTTATCTTAGCTTAATGTCTGCCTTTGAAGACCTGGAGTGAAAGAAGATGTTTCTCCACTGAGGTATTTAAGGGGCAAGGTCAAATTGAATTGGAACTGCAGTTTGCCAAATGGTTCATTCTTATTCTTTTGGAAGAGTAATAAAAAAAAACAGAAGGGGGGATGAAAAGACTGGAGGAAAGCAATGCCGGCAGAGAAAGAAGAACAACAAGAGGCAGAGTTTAAACAAAAAAAAATTGAAATGAAATGCACAATTGGAATTAAAACTGTTTGACCTCCACTCTCCAGATGGACTCGAATTTCTAGGAAACAAACACTAGACATTTCTAGTCACACTTGAGTTTTTTGAAGCCTTTGGTATTGAATAGAAAACGCAGTTGTTTTTTTTTGAGGAAAGCATTTTAAAGAATTTTGATAAACTTACTTAAACTCGGGACTGAGATCGGGCTTCAGTCCATAGAATGAAGAAGACAAGCTCATCATCCATTTGGGGATGAATTTATAATCTTCACAATCTAAGAACGGGCTAGACCACTGAATGTGCTCTTTGTCAATCATGTAGCTGTGCCCGAGCCCCCACTTGGGGCTGTCCAGTGTTCTCAGGTCATTAGTTAAGATCCACTTGTTAAGATCAGGTGTCTTTTCGTGTTTCATCGCATTGAACCAGTCGTTGTCCACAGTCTGGTTCTCCAGATCCCCTGGGATCGAGGAGAGTTCCCGCAGGTAGATCGCATTCTGGCGCTTGGCAGCCTGGAGGACCAGTTGGGATTTGGAGGGGATGGTGGGCACGTCCAGAATGAGCATTGCCCTGTCAATGTTGGCATCTGCCTCCACGATGCTCCTCACCAGGGCATGGTACCACTCAATCTCATCCTTCACACTAGATTCCCGAAGGTCATTGGTCTGGAAGACCAGGTTGAGGAAGTTGGTGGTGTGGACCAAAGTGTCAACGGCCCCCCTAACCAGAGACTGGACCCTGGCACTGGGGTGCCCGGTGCTGCCAGCTCTGATCTCCAGCCGCTTTGTGCAGTTCACCCGCAGCAGGGTGGCGGGGTCCCGGGAGAACAGGAAGGAGCTGGCGGCTTCTGCTGTCTCTGGCTCCGGCTTGGCCAGCCTGGAGAGGCGGCTCGCATTGGCCCCGATCCCCGGGCCCAGGCCAGCACAGACCCCGACCTGGGCGATCAGAAACAGTCGCAGCGCAAACCCGGCCAGCTCCATGTGACTCCTTCCCGCTTCCAGTCCGATCCGCTGGGGCCCGAGCCGAGGGTCTGCCAGGGGCTGGCTCACAGACTTCTTAAGGGCTGGCCCCATCTGGAGCAAGTGCTGAAGAGCTGCGCTTCCGAGGCCATTCTGCCCCCCCAGCAGAGGGTGGCTGCTATCCTGCCGCTCAGTGTAGGCGCTCTCCAATGCAGCACCTGTAAGAACTCGGAATGCCGTGGCCCGCTTTTCTGCTCCCTGGGTCAGGCAGGGCTGTACCAGTCCCTGGTGTGCTGTCTTTTAATCCAGGCACATTACAGGAGAATGATAAAAATAGCCCAGACATTAGAGGAAAAAAAGTGGGAAAGACCATTTCAACAGGGGCATTAAAAAAAAACTCGACATTTTTCATTCTCAAATAGTGCATCCTCTCGGTGATGAAAGCAGATCGCTCACCATGACAACGGGAGACATGAAATGAAGGGGGAATGAGCAGGCGGACTCTGAGAGAATGATACTGACTGACCAGGGCGAGTCTCTCAGTGAAACAGCATTGACTCGGATTAACCTGGCCATTGTCCCCAACCAGCTCTGGCCCTTTCCCCAACACACCGCTCTAACACACTGCAAGGTGTTGCCCTCAATGCAGGAGCACCCAGGAGCTGTCATTTATTTGACTGTTTCAAGATTTCAGGATCCATCCACAACCCCACACAACACCCCCCCTCCAGCACCGACCTCCCCCTCCCAGTGGAGATGGGACCCTGCATTGTCCAAAACCGACTTTGCAGCTTTTAAAAATCGTGTTCAGGCAAATAAGTTACCCATCATTGTTTATAAACCAAATCAGACAATGCGCCCAGCGGAAAATGCAACAGCGCCGAACACAGACTCTTGCCGATCGCCTCTGACGAGGTAAGAGCAGAAGAGATGTCCGGAAGACAAGCCAGTGTTAGATGTGTGTCCTGTGTGTGTTGTGGGGCTTTAAGCTAAGGGTCTAGACCAGGACAGGGTCATAACAGCGGGAGAAGCCGCTACCTATTGTTCGAAAGGACATTGAGACAGCGGCGTGGCTCGCCTTTACCTCCAGGAAGGGGCATTGAGGCTAAAACCTGAACCCTGGTTCTAACCACAGCCTCTGGTCAGCTGCTTCCAGGATCTTTGTTTTTCGTTCTTCTTTCGGATCTCCTCCAACCCACATCATACTGTTCCTGTAGCCGGATTTGCAAAGCCCCCAGCAGGCACACAACATCCTTCCCTCAGAAACGGAGCTTGGGCAGCAGGATTTGCTGGGACTGGAGAAATCGGGCTCAGGTTTCCCAGCCTGAGGCAGACCTTCCCGTTGTCTGAATATTTGTATCTGGGAAGGAATGTGAAGATGAGAGGGTCCAGAATGGCTCCAGGGATGAGGGGCTTCGGTTAACGGAGTAGATTGGATAGTGTTCCTTGGAGAGGTTTTGGTGAGATGTTACTGACCTTGAGGCTGGTGGAACAGGCCGTGTGAGTGTTCCTTTGGGTTTGTGAGCAGGGATTGTAGGGCCTGTACAGCTCTCAACCACACGCTGCTGCTGGTAACTCTCATGAGATAATCAGCTTTGCACACCGGGATGGTTTGCTGGGTTTTAGTACTTACAATCCAGATCAAAGGGAGCATTTGGGGATCTGAAACAAAACCAGAAATTGCTGGAGAAACTCGGCAGCATCTGAAGAAAGAGAAGCAGAATTAACGTTTCTTCCGGGCCATTAAGACTGAAATCATTGCGGTGTGGTGGCTCAGCGGTTAGCACTGCTACCTCACAGCACCAGACACTCGGGTTCGATCCTACCCTTGGGCGCCTGTATACATTATCTGCGAGGGTTTACTCCCATGGTCACAAAAAACGTGCAGGCTAGGTTGACTGGCCATGGAGAAATTGTCCAGGGATATGGATTAGCCATGGGTAATGTAGGGTCAGGGGGCCTGGATCTGGGTAAGATGCTCTTAGGAGGGTTGGTGTGAACCCAATGTGTTGAATGGCCTGCTTCTTTTCTGTAGAGGTTCTAATTTACTCTTATTCTCTCTCTATAGCTGTTGCCAGACTTACTGAGTTTCTCCAGCAGTTTCTGGTCCTCAACATCTGCATTTTTTTTTGATGGAATGAGATGTGGCGATGTTGCTTTAAAGTTATTTGTTTTTAGTCATATCGTTCAATTTATCTCAAAGAAATGTGCTTTCAAACCATTAAAAATGAAGACAATCACAAAAGACACTCAAGGAAGAATCTTTCTATTTGAATTCAGTCTCCCCTTGAAAGGATTTGTCTGTGTAAACTTTAGAACCCAGCCTAAAAGCTTCACATTTCAGGGACAAGGCCAGCTCAGTTTCCCCATCATTTAGAGTCACAGAGTCCTACAGCACTGAGACAGGCCCTTTGGCCCAAACTAACCAAAATGTCCATCCGCGCTAAGCCCATTTCCCTGCACTTGGCCCATGTCTTTCTAAACCTTTCCTTTCCATGTATTTGTCCAAGTGCCTTTTAAATGTGATTAATGTTATGCCTCAACCACTTCCACTCGCAGCTCATTCCATATGCATACCAGCCTCTATGTTATAAAGTTGCCCCTCAGGTTCCCATGTATTCTTTCCCTTCTTACCTTAAACTGATGCCCTCTGGTCCTCGATTCCCCAACCCTGGTAAAAAGACTCAGTGCATTCACCCTATCCATGCCTTTCTTGATCTTATACACTTCTATAAGATCCCCCCTCAGTCTCCTATGCTCTAAAGAAAAGAGTCCCAGCTTGACAGTATTGAATATAGAAGTTGGGAATCTCCAATGGTTTGGGATTGAGGAGGCGGGCGATTTGAGAATTCAAGAGGCTAAAAGCTGCAGTTCATGATTATATAGTGCTCAGTCAATTGGAAAGGTGGGATTTGCTCCCAGATGTGCCTGATGATGCGTTTTGACATACTTAAGGTGCTATTAGAAAGATTGCACAATTGCAGTAGCAACTGAAGACAAAGTCTGGATTTTTAGACACAAGAACATTTCTTGTTTCCTCTGTAAGGTAACTGATACAATCTGGATTGTCATTATAGCATATATTGTAAAATATGTTATGCTCATATGTTAGTTTTATATTTCACATTCATTATCATTTCACTACTCTTTGACAATTCCCCTTTAGAAATAAGTTAGCTAATTTTGGTTATTTTGCGTGATTATAGAACTGGACTATTAATCCACGAACCCTGGACTAATGATCTAGCAACAAGTACAATCTCACCACTTTAAGTGAGGGAAATCAAATCAATAAATTAAATAAATCAGGAACAAAAAGAAACAAAATCAGTAACAGTGACCATGAAGCTAGAGGATTATGCTTTCAAAAAAGCCACACCTTGTTCACCACTTGCTCTTGTGGAAGGTAATGTACTATCTTTACTCAGTTCAGTCTTGATGTGACTAAGATTTCACAGCAGCGTGTTGTTATGACCCCAGCTGATGGCATTACTGGATAAATCAAATCCCAGAGTGACAGCTGGCTTGATAGTTTTTTTTATCTATTGTACTTAATGTGGTGGTTAGTCCCCAAAATATACTCACACAAAGCTGCAAAGTTTCTTCAATAACAGAACAGAAGTTTATTACACAAAGATGTAAACAAACAAAGGGCTATTTAGATATAGAACACAATTAGAAAGATCTTAAAACATGCAGCAAAACTAAATTTTCAATCTACCTTCCAATACCATCACCTTATAGAAATTCAGATCCAGAGACAGCACATCTTTTTATCTTAAATTCAACTTCATTCTCTAGAGTTTTGGTCCAGTGAACTGTGAAGACTTCTTGAATGAAAACTCATGAGACAGAATTTACTTTTTCTCAACTTCTAACAGCCTGTAGATTTCTAAACAAACACTCTTGGTTTGGAACCTACACAAACTAAATGTTTCTACTGAGGTAACTTGTGCCTTTAATTGCTCTGAAAAAAATTCTTTCTAGCACAGAAACTAAACTTACTTTTCACCCCAGCCAGGTTCCCTCTGAACTAACCTAAAAACGTTCAATCTCTAGTTTTTCCTAAACCAAAATTAATACTTGATTATTCTGAAACGAAACAAGTTAATAGCCTTCATGTTTTATTTTTCCTGTCATAAACACCACAGTATAAACACCTTATTCCATTAATACTCCAGGTGTTTGCAGTTACCTGTTCTCTCTGACACAAACTGGAATAGGTCAATGCTTTGGAAGAACTGTCTAACCCTGGTTTCTTTGTTAAACCAACGCCTATATGCCACTATTCTGACATTTAAGTTCTAAAAGTTATGTCTATATATACAAATTACATACCTTTCATCAGACCTCACCCCAAAGAAGAACAAACATTGACCTTGAGGTATTTTCATTTCCAATCAAAATGTTCTTTTTAACACTATTTCTGTGTTACGCTGACAGCAATAATGTTTTGATATTTAACATATAATGCATTTTAATGACTGCTGTTTGATCATTGGAAAATTGCTGGTGCATCTTTCATTCCAAATAGCATGATTTCACATGAATAAAGTTCATCTGATGTTACAGAAGTTAATATTTCTCTGGCTTTGTCAGCAACTGTAATTTAGGAAGAGATAGTAAGAACTGCCGAAGCTGGAGTCTCAGATAACACAGTGTGGAGCTGGAGGAACACAGCAGGCCAGGCAGCATCAGAGGAGCAGGAAAGCTGACATTTCCGGTCGGGACCCTTCTTCAGAAATGGGGGAGGGGAAGGGGGCTACAAAATAAATAGAGAGAGGGGGTTTGGGCTGGAAAAGGTAGGTGGGATGGTGATAGCAAGTAGGTAGTGGTGGGGATTGGTCAGTGGGGTGGGAGGAGGGGATAGGTGGGAGAGAAGACAGACAAGTCAAGGAGGCAGAGTTGAGAGGGGGGCTGGTCTTGGGATGAGGTCAGGGGTGGGGAGATTTTGAAGCTAGTAATGTCCACATTGAGACCATTGGGTTGCAGGCCCCCAAGGCAGAATATGAGGTGCTGTTCCTCCTGTTTCCGGGTGGTATCGTTGTGACACTGGAGGAGGCCCAGGATGGACATGTCATCCAGGGAATGGGTGGGGGAGTTGAAGTGGTTCACGACTGGGAGATGTTGTCGTTTGTCGCGAACAGAGCGTAGGTGCTCTACAAAGCCGTCTCCACGCCTCTGCTTGGTCTCACCGATGTAGAGGAAGCCACATCGGGAACAGCGGATACAATAGACCACATTAGCGGAAGTGCAGGTGAACATCTGTCTGATGTGGAAGGTTTTTTTGGGGCCTGGGTTGGAGGTGAGGGGGTAGGTGTAGGGGCAGGTGTAGCACTTCCTGCAGTTTCAGGGAAAGGTGCTGGGGTGGTGGGGCTAATGGGGAGTGTGCAGCAGACGAGGGAGTTGCGGAGTGAGCGGTCCCTCCGGAAGGCAGATAAGGGTGGTGAGGGAAATATATCCTTGGTAGTGGGGTCAGATTGCGGGTGGCGGAACTGGCGTAGAATGATGCGTTGAATCCAGAGGTTAATGGGGCAATATGTCAGGACAAGGGGAATTCTGTCTTTGTTTTTATTGCAGGGAGGGGGTGTGAGGGCAGAGGTGCAGGAAACGCAAGACATGTGGTCAAGGGTGTTTTCAACCACTGAGTGGGGGGAAGTTGCGGTCCTTGAAATATGAGGACATCTAGGATGTCCCGGAGTGGAATGCCTCATCTTGGGAGCAGATGTGGCGGAGGCGGAGGAATTGAATATTATTTTACCATTTCACAAATAGAATTATAGAGTCATAGAGATTTACTGCAGGGAAACGGACCCTTCAGTCCAACTCATTCGTGTGGACCAGATTTCCCACATAAATTTAGTCCCATTTGCCAGCATATGGCCCATATTCCTCTTCCTATTCATATACCCATCCAGACGCTTTTTAAATGTTGCAATTGTACCAGCCTCCACCACTTCCTCTGGCAGCTCATTCCATCCACGCACCACCCTGTGGTTGAAAAAGTTGCCCCTTAGGTCCCTTTTAGATCTTTTCTCTCTCAACTTAAACTTATGCCCTCTAGTTTTGCACACCCCCACCCCAGGGGAAGGACCTTGCCTATTTACCCTATCCATGCACCTCATGATTTTATAAACCTCTACAAGGTGACCCCTCAACCTCTAAGCTCCAGGGAAAATCGCTCCAGCCTATTCAGCCTCCCCCTGTAGCTCAGACCCTCCAACTCTGGCAACATCCTTGTAAATCTTTCCTGAATGCTTTCTCGATTCACAACATCCTTCGTTTAGGAGAGACACAGAATTGCATGCAATACTCCAAAAGTGGCCTAACCATTGTCCTGTAAAGCCACAATGTGACCTC